TATTTAGTAGTTTTCGAACAATATTGCGTGCAATTTGTACAAGTTAGAAAAAGTACAAAAACAAGATTTTGCCGAAAATGGTTTCAATTTTTTCTTGAAACTTTTGGTAGGGATTGTGTTAATGTACTCTATGAAGAGACATAAATGCCAGATTGCTCTATTTTGATTTTTCAAAAATTAAAATAATGTATTCTTTAAACTTGTCTCTCACGTCGTTAATATTTACATGAGTGGTAACATTATTATATTTATGAGTATATGTGCGTGAAATAATGTCAAATAAAATTTCTCGAAAACCCAACAGATTTCCGTCAAAACTAGCTCAACATTTCGCAATTTCAGAAACGCTCAAACGCTATTTTCTTAGAAGCGGTTTCAAAACTTTTTTTAAAAAAAAATTACAAAATATTTAATTTTTGAAAGATCTCTCACGCCGTTAATATGCACATTTTCAGCAATTTGTAAACACTATTGTATTTGTGAGTCAAAGTACTTCAAATGAGGTTTTTCGAAAACTCAAAAAGTTTCTGTGAAAAGAGCTTATAATTTTGAATTAACAGTAGCGCGTAAACGCTAGTTTTAGAAAACAGCTCTAAATTTTTCAAAGAAATTTGTCATTTAGGACGAGGTTTTACTGTCCTTTAATAATCATAAAATAATATTTTCCCTCTACAATTAGGAAACTGAAAAATTAAGATATTTAAAAAATGTACTTTGGGCGGCGAAAGATGGCAGCTGGTAAGACTATGTAGCAAGTCCCGGTAGCTAGCCGAGACCAAAGTAAATAGAAAACTAATATGGGAAAGTTTGTTCCATTCTATAGCACTGGTAATTTAGATTTTTTCTTCTATCGTATTCATTAAGACAGTTTTAAAATTCATCTCCTGACAACATGTTATCTTGAAGGGACTTATTGTTTTAAGCGTAGTATAAGGTGAGAGTTATTGCACAGGTAGGCCAGTAGATAGATCCGGTGTAATAGATATAGGTGTCATAACATAATTGATTAATCATAATCATAAAAGTAAATGCAAATATCTGTGCTGAAACGTAATTGTCGGTTTTTTGTAATTAATTTGAAAACGACCGAAACGTATGTTTTAAGTCTTATGTGCTAGTAACATGTAGTATAAAATTTATTTGTTTAGATAAATCAATTTATCATACCATTGCAACATAAGAACAGTACCGATATATCAACATCTATATAATGTTTACACAATAAGTTCATAATGTACTGAACCACTTGACAAAACAATATTAGCTTGGTTATTTGATCTGAAATGCTAGATATTATGGATCTTGAAATGTAAATAGTAAAAACCAAGGACCCCTAGAATTTTTTATTTGCTTAGACAAATATATTTATATAAATTAATGTTTGCCTTTGTTTATAGAAAAAATGGATGAATTCATTTATTGGGAGAAATTGAAACGCAACAGCATATGTTAGTCTTAATATGTAAAGAATCATTGCATAATTACATACCAGTGTACTGATCTCCTGCGCATACTGAAACTAAAAAGGTTTAACAGCGTTGATCCAAAACATACAAACATTTTCCATTTTACCAATTTGAACATAAGAACTGTGTAAATAATGAAATTGGGTAACATAATGAAAAGCTGCTCTATTTTCTAGAGAATTATTCACATTTGCTTCCCTCCTAGCAGTATTATTTTCAATGGTGCGAGTGTGTTCTTCAGTAAGCTGCTCTTGCCTCGTAGTAGCCGATTCAGAATGTTTATAGACTTCCCATCTCTTAGCCCTTGTAGCCTTTTTGACAACTGTGACTTTCGTTTCGGCATTGTTACAAGCAATTCAGTGTTTACAAATTTCTATAGAAGAAATTGTATTGTTGAGTATTCTGTGCTGAGTATTATTGTACTTTTTACTCTCTCAACCTACCTCAATTTTTAAACACTTCCAAACTCTCGTTGTTTTGCCACTGTTTGTGACTAGAACTAAGGACAATGCATGTACTTTGGCATTCGTTACTTCTTCATTTACACCAATGTTCCACAAACTTTTGTTTAAAACTACTTAAACTTGTTAGTTTAAAACTAACAAATCGCCAACGTTCACACACGGACATTACATAACCTTACTCAAATCTCAATGATTTTCGTAATCATTCTGAATATTGATGAAATCGGTAGATCTCAGACGTCGTCGTCTCGTGGCGTGCTGCTAAACTATTGCCACTTTTTAATCTGTGATGTAAAGTGTCCAGAAGAGTACTTATTTCGTAAATATACTAAGGTTTATATCAGAGCCTATAGTACTCCACACCTTTAAAGGAAGCTAGCACCAAAGTTTCGTGAGTATTGGCCCAGTAGATTAAGTGGGGAATTATCGTGCTGTTAGTCAATGCCCTTCTGTCTTTATTTATTAGCATAGATATAGATGAATAATTATTTCGAAATGTTGTAAATATTATATTGTTTATGATATTTTTAAGTGTACTTCCTTCAATATACAGCATGGAGGAAGGCTGTATGTACTACCTACAGTCTTTATCTTTCGGACCAACAGATATAACTTACGTGATGTGAATTGTATTATTTAGTATAGTATTCTACAGTGTGTTAATAATGGAAAATCAGTGTTTCTTATTAATTTTTCGACTCTATCGTAATCCTTATTTCACTTATATCTTAGAAAGGCTTACTATAGTTTTTGTTATGCAACCCGCACTACTGCTGTGTAATGTTGGTTGCTGACATTTGCGCCCACTCTTGCTGTTCACTAAAGTTTTCAATTTAATAACTAGTGTTGAATGAAAAACTAGTACAACCGAACATGAACTCTGATATTAATGGTACAGGCCATGTTATATGACAATGTTACGCATTTCAACGTTATAACATTCCCTCGGCGTTATTCCTGCTATTAGAAAAAGTGGAATAGTTTCTTCTTTAACTTCGAAATTTTTTAACACACATGATACATTATTTTATAAAAGATTTCTCCAATGACATTGCAACAATCTGCAATTTTCTGACCGAAACCAATCACCAGATTTATAATTTTGTAACATTTATAATTTTAATAATACTTTGATTGTAGCAACTCTTCTAATAGGCAAGTAGGAATATCAAACCAATGTGAAATTTTTCGAGTCATGTGATATTTTTCAATTGCAATTTCACCGATAATTAAGAAGTGATTATTTGCATCTTCATTGGCAAATGACATTTGTTCAAAAAGTACTTGCAATTCACACTTCATAACAATACGTAAGTATTTTTCCGTATTGTAATACGTAAATATTTTTCCGTATTGTAATACGTAAATATTTGTCCGTATTGTAATACGTAAATATTTTTCCGTTAATATTTTCAACAGCTTCCAGGGGTCCCAAGAAACAGCGTCTTGTTCATCAGTATCCATACAGAAGCAGCATTTCGTGAAAAAAAGTTTAATCCTCTATAGTGATACGTGCATAAATCAAATTCGCAATTTCAAAATTGCTGTCACTTGTATGAAAATCGTGACAAAGCCAATCATTTAAACACATTTTTTTTTCAGAAATTTCTTGAATCAGGACACGCATTTATGAAAAATGACCCCGATTTTGGAAACATAGACCAAGCTGACAAAAATAAACTATATTATGTTCCCTCTATTACCATCCGTTCAGCTCGAAAGAAAAGAGATCGTAAAATGACTCAAGCACATTAAAATTTTCAGCTTATAAAAACAACTGTGAGAAAGATCAATAATGAAGCCAAAGTAAATTGCCTACAAATACAGTGAATGTGGTTCCTTAACTGTATCCCCCAAACGAACAAACACGATTTAACTTTTGCAATACATACCTCCAGTGCACCACAACTACTTCAACTCACTAAAAAGTTTTCTAGTTGAGTATAATATGGAACCATTTGAACAAGTTCAAGATGAGCCTGCTACCCCAACTATAATGTCAACGAACTGAACACTGCTGACTTACCCATCACTAAAATGCTTATTCTTAGTAGCTTAATGTAAAACTTGTAATAACAGTAAACAATATTCTATATTTTTGGTATGTTAACTAATTATAATTTACAGTATATACAATATCAAAACAGTGTAAACTATATTGTGTACATTGTTATTTGTTGTTGTTTTTTTTGCATTAATTTCACTCCCAAATTTTCATCACATTATCGCAAGACGAAAATTATGCATGCTAATTTTTTTGAATTTAAGTCATAGTTCTTAGAAACTATGTGTGCAAAACCTGTGTAAATGAACAAAACAGTTAATTAACTAATTAATAAGCAATGTTCAAAATATTTGTAGAAAGTTAAAAGAATATCCCCATATCACGTTCATAACACTTAGTCTCATTTATTTCTAAGAATTATAGATTTACAGAGTTTTTCGTTTACACCTCATTTGCCGGAACGTAGGTTTTCTGACTTTGGCTCTTGACGGCTCGTGAAGGACAATTGCGTCGTTAGATCTCTGGATTCCTAGTCGGTCACCCATCCAAGAACGCGCCATGACTCGAATTCGCGAAACCGTCGTGACTTCACATAGTTCTCGAATTCGGCAAGCGACGTCGGTTTCGCGGTCGTGGACTTTCAGTAGAACAATCTCAACATTCGTTGGATGGCAAGGAGTGACAAGGAGTGACATAGTGCCTGGTTTCATTCATTGAGATATTCGCATCGTATTGTCAGGTATAGGGAAAGGAAACGGGCGAGAGTCAAGTATAAGTAGTTTACTGTTTTTAACTTGCACAAATATATCTTAGTTCAAATAATAGCAAAGTTCTTTTCCGTATGCGAATATCCCAAGAAGTGGAGCCTGGCACTTTCTCGCCCTAAGTGGGACATCTCGCTCCGTTTGACGGTATGTTCGGTTTTGCTCAGAGAATATAGTATTCACGCATGCCCGTGTATTTATAGGTTTTAGTTTTCTTTGCTCACTTACAAAAAGCTGCAAATTACATTTATGTTTCTATTATAAAAATACAGAGTAATAATCCTTTAATTTTATTTTGCAGTGCTTGCTGCAAACACCATTCCATGACAAAAAATATGTTCTACCAAGAATGCGTAAGATACGTTCCTAAGGTCAAGTCTTTTTACATGGCGCATCTATCGTTTCTCCGGTCTTCAGGATAATTTCATCTGAGTGGAGAGTGGTAAGTACATTGATTAATGTTTTCTTCTCATGCACTTTTGAAGTTCTCAACGTACATAATTGTTTTGCTCGTTGAAGGTAGCGTTTAAAAAAAGGCTACTTGCACAAAGAGGTTGCTAGTGAGAAATGATGCTTTGTAGATGCCAGACAGATACTGCATCAGAGGAATCGTCGTATTTTCCTTTTTATTATGTTTTTTTCGTGTCTCCAAGGAAATGAAATGTCAAGCATTCTTCGTAGAATTGTAATTTCGCACCTGCATGTTTGGTTGGACAGCGTTAGTAGTCACATTCTACAAAAATCAGACATTTAATAACATTAATATTCTTCTTAATTAACTGACAACTATAATATCTAAGTTTTGTGTAGAATTCAGTAATCTGCATGATTTAATCTACTTTCGTAGGATGTTAGTATTAATCGAACTTTTTACGAATGAAAAACAGTTCCACCATAATATTCCCTTTTAAAACGCCGTGTTATTGATTGCATCCGTAGTTCGTCATTTTTTCACGTGAACTTGCGTCATGCATAGTGTCGCTGATGCAACTACCAATGTGGGTCGCACCCTGTTTTTTTGTAAAAGGGCTATCAAACAGCTCTTAATGGCATTGTAATAGAATTAGGGCCGCAAAATCAAATCATGCAATCGAATTGCGGACGATACGTTCGCGATAGGTGGGAGGACGTCGGGTGAAGGGGCGAGAGGAGCTGAGCAGGTCGTGTGGACCACACGTCGCCCATTTTGTTTTGAGCAGTCGGAACGAAAAAACCCTCGTCTTCTCGAATGTCTTACTTCGTCTCCTCGAATGTCTTTCAAAACGATATGTCAACAACCCTTTCTCTCGTTTATCTGCTAATGCAGATAAGAAGGCATTCCGATTAGTGAACGATGGAAACTGTCAGAGAGAATAGGGAGGGAACATTAGCTTCATATTTAAAAAAAAATAAGTGTCGACTGTTAAGTGCGCAAATATTTGAAAGTTACCGCCCCCAGATTTCTTGCGGCCTCTCAGACAGGATATTCTTTGATACACTAGCATGAGCAGTCAGCGGCCCGCCGATGTCGCTCGGTCGGCGTGTCAGCAATCGAAATAATGAACAAGACTTGATAAATTCCGCCCATCCGGGCAATGCAGCGCGCTGTTTAGTCACAATGTGTTAAATATATAATTTATTTTTGCTTGCTTGGAGTTGGGGTTTAAATCACCTGTTTTGAAATGATAATTTTTGGTCCCCGTGAACATTTGATATTCGTTTTAAATCCGAATTTTATTGGTGAGTTAAAGTACATAAAATGACTTCAAGTGAGGTTTTTTAAAAACTCAAAACTGTGAAAAGAGCTGAATTTTTGAATTTACTGAAGCGCTTAAGCGATATTTTCTTAATAAGGGCTCCAAATTTTTCAAAGAAAATAGCCATTTAGAACGAGGTTTTACTGTTACTAAAGTAATATTTCCGTTATACTATTAGGAAATCGAAAAATTAAGATAATGTCAAAAAAATGTACTTTAAGTCGCGATAGATGGCAGCTGGCAGGAGTATGTGGCACGTTCGTATAGCTAGCCGAGACCAAAGGAAATAGACTACAAATACGGGAACATCTGTGCCATTCTGTAGCAAGACTAGATGATTTTGTGTCAGCTGCCCTATTCTAAATCTATCTGTACATTGATATTTGTGAAAAAAACAGGCCTACACTCAAAACTACAAGAACTTATAATTTTGGGATAGAGGGCTAATTAGGACGTCCGAACGAACGTTCGTTGAGGTCATATGTCCAACGGCAGTGAATGAACATTGAATTGGTGGCCACATAGATGCAACGCAAGCTGACATTTTAAGCTACTTGTATTCCTATTGACTCCCAAGGTGTAAAATGGCGCATTCACCTAGAAACGTAAGTGTACGCGGGAGTTCCTTTCTGCCAGATAAGCGACTCGTGAATGAGTGATACTGTTGTGCCGATTAATACCGAGGTATCATTATGTTATCGTTAGGGCAATGTGTCTAACAAATAAATACTGTGCCCCATGTAGAGTTCGCTATTCGGCAGTGCTGGCGCTAGACAACTTTGGGCCCGGGGCATGGCTGAGACTTAGTTCACCCCCACCCCCCGGAGAAATTAAAAATGTGCAATTTATATCAAGAAACTGTGAGTTATTTTATCTCAGCAAATAACAAAATTACTTTTAATCTATATAACGTTTTGGATATGTACTTTAAATATTTGATTCATTCCAAATAAGTAATGACTATAATTAACTATTGGAGGTACACAATTATTGAACATTTTATGAAATATCAGACTACTACACAAAAATTACGATAACGATTTTCTCGAATTCTAGTTTTTAAAATATTTTTTACTATTTCCTCCCCATCAATCCCATCGTTGGGCCCCGTGACCCCGGGCGATCGCGCAGTCTGCCTAGCGCCGACACTGCTACTAGGACGCCGAGGTAGCGCTGGTTCTACACCGTTCGCGCGCTCCTGAAATCCGAAGCGTCTGCCGGCATCTAAAGCGATCAAAGTCCGGTACGTCGCGGACAAGGGAAGCAACAGAACGAAGAATGACATCGGGCAGTTGAGGCGGCAAGGTTAAGCTTGCAATGAAGTCATGGTAGTATGTTTGTGAAACATGCACGCGAAGCCACATCTGGCTTATTTATGGTTTAAATTTTGGAATCATTAACAGTTCAAGCTTTGCATATCAAATTAATTCTAATACTTAACAAGTGTTTGTTTTATGTTCCGGTCCATGTGCACAAATCTCTAATCCATAACATTAAGCACGTCAGGTAGGTTCCTATCTTATAAGAATTCCAGTTGCAGTCACGTTACGGAGAAATATATTATAATAATAACGGAAAACAATTCGCACTGAATTGAATTATTAAGAGATATAAATATTGTTGCTTTATTCTTTATTAAGTTAGAGTTTAATTTCATTCCGTCAGTTCTGTTACTCCTAGAAATTAGAATATTAGGTATTCAGGAATTTAACAGAACGTTCTTGAAAACAATAGATGTACTGAATGTAATTAGCAACACAATGCAGATCCCAGTGAGATTTAATAGGTTTCCATGGAAAGCGACATAAAGAACCGATTCTCAGAATCAGTGCGAGCTATTTAGAACACGAGAATCACTGCGCATGCCCGGGACAATCTCATTTTGCACCTTCCCACGTTCACCAAAACGTCAATAAAACCTCCCTGTCCTCTCTCATGCAACAACTTGACGCGCACCGTCATTGAAACCTGTTTAAATTTATTCCTGAGTCAATTATTCAGGATCAATAGGTAAAACTGAAGACATTTCTTTTCTTAAAAAATATTAGTTTCTACCAGATACTGCATCTACCCAACTCGCATTTGTTCAGGACTTAATAATAATAATAATAATTATTATTATTATTATTATTATTATTATTATGATAATAACAATAATAACAATAATAATACCAATAATGATGTCGCCGTGTCGCAGACGGTTGCCGCAATGATCGCAGGCGTTTGTTTTTTTTATTCAACAAACTCATTCATTGTTTGTAATAGGAAGTCCACTTGAGGTGTTGGGATGTATGTAAAGGTGCATATTTCACCTTTCATTCGAACCGCACATATCATAAAATATTAGCGAATTATCATTTACGAATCATAACGTTAATAATAATAATAATAATAATAATAATAATAATAATAATAATAATAATAATAATAGTAGTAATACTGCGAATATTTTACTCCGGTAGGCGTCTCTCGCATCTCAGTTTCCATTTAAGTCTGTCACTGCAGTCTTTTGCAGTTAACCCACTTCTAGCCATCGCCTTCTCCACTTCTTCCTTCTCTGTACTTCTCAGTCTTCCTCGTCTCCTGTGTGATAATGGTTTCCAATTCCAAAGCTTGAGAGTCTATCGTTCTTCACCCATTCTATTTAAGTGACCATACTAATTAAGCCTTTTAATTTCAATGGTATCAATAATGTTGAAACTCACTTCTGCTTTTCTTGTAATTTCTTCGTTTCTTATTTTATCCAAGGATGTCAATCCATGGCTTCCATTGCTGTAAGTTTATTCTCATTAACTTTTCCAGACTTCAGACAAGTACGTAATCTATTGTTTTTGTTCCTGTTACCAATGTAAATTTGTGAATATCCTTATGTTTAAAGAAACCATTCCAGATTTTTAAACCATATTCTATCAGCCTTTACCATTGTCACTCACAGTTTCCTCGACGTACCTTCCTCATTTTGGACTTGCCTTCCTTCTCTACCATTAAAATTCCCAAGTAAAAGTAGAACTTTTCAATTAGCGATTCCATCTAAGACACTCGTCAATTGATTAAAAAATGCAATTATCTCTGTTTCCGAAGGTTCTTCATTTGGAGCTTATATACCTATAAAAACATATCTATTCCTTTTATTTTAAAGCATAGTGTTAAAATTTTCTCATTAACGCATGTCCAACTCTTAATACTATTTATATATCTTTTTAATATGGCAATGGAGACTCCTCTCTTTGCTTTACTTTCTTTGTTCGCATCATTAAATATTTCATTGTAGCCTTTAACTTTCTCTATCCCTTGACACTTTTTTTCCGTTTCTCACAGGACAGCAATTTCTACATCCCATTTCCTTAGTTTTTCAAATACGTCTACTTTTTTCAGATAAAGGTTCCGTACGTCCCATGTTCCTACATTCATAAACGGTTTCCGTTTGCATTGTGGTTTCCTGGACATTCCGGTTACATTCTGAGACATTAAGCACTCCAGCATTTTTAACACGGGTAGGGCTGCTGCCCTTATGCTCTCACCCTCAGCACTGATCCGCTGTCCGTCTGACAGGGAAGTCCTAGGTTCGAGTTCCGATGGTGGCAGAATTTTCCACACTTTGCGATTTGTCAGCTAGGTCGAATTCAGTCGCTGACTGGAGGACAATTGTGCCGGCAGCTCTGATCGTTAGTTTTCCGTGGTTTCTCCGATCAGCACCAGGCGAATGCCGGTGCTGTACCCTACCAAACGGGCCACGGACCGCGCGCGATCTTTCCTA